GAGTGACCTCTGGAAATATGGTGTTCTAAATCTTGACTTAAAGCTTTCGTGACTGCAGGAATTCATATTTTTTGGGGTTTTCGGTAACGTCACGTAGATAGGTTCAAAGAAAATAACAAAAAAATTACAAAAAACTACGAACCTATCTACGTGACTTTACCGAAAGACTCAAAGAATATGGTGTTCTAATTAACAAAAACATCGTCATTTTATTGGCCTTCCGGTGAAAGTGATATAACTGTCTTATTTACCAACGGTAGGCATTCATAAACGATACGACATCAAACAGTAAAGCACTCGAATGCTGTTCCCATGACCAAATGGAATATTTAGGAGTGACTCCAGTGTCCGTTGCCAATTCTTCGTTTGCTGCGCCTGCAGCCATCGCCATGGCTGCTGTTAGGGGTCGGCACGGTTTGGCTCAAACCACCAAACCGCGGTTTGAACCGAACCAAATCGGTTTGGTTTGGCTCTGTTTGAACTGGTTCGGTTTGGTTTGGGGCTACGAAAACCGACTCGGTTTGGCTCGGACAGGGTGGAACCGGCTCAAACTAGTTTGGTTGGTTGTAAAGGCGACACGAAAGGACATGCTGTCGTTGCCTTTGCCTGCGAATTCACTTTGCAATTGCATCTCCATGGCTCGAGCGGCTCAAGACGGCGCCATCCCCGGCGGCTCCAGCATCACAAGGTATCTCATCCACGACGTGGAAGAGACCAAACACGCCGGTAGCGACGAGGAGCCGATGGCGAGCGAACGTGAGAGCCCGGACGCCACGCGCGGCGACACGCGGCAGAGCCTCATGCGCACCCTCGGCGCCGCAGCGCTGCAGACCGCGACGCAGCCCAAGCCCAAGAAGGCCCGTGTGTCCCGAGCGCTGTGGCACGACGAGTACTTTGAGACGAGCCAGGCCGCGGGCGACGTGCAGAGCCGGACCTGCAAGATCTGCACCCTCCAGTACGCGGGCTCCACCTCCTCGGGCACCCGTATCAAGCATCTCAAGACCCATGGGATCGTCGACCCCGAGTCGCCCACGGTCGTCACGTCGCCGCCGACGGGGAAGGGTTTGCTCGTGCAGTCCAAGATGGCCACGCCCATGTCAGCGCACGCGAGTAAGGCCATGGACAGCTTTGTCGCCGAGTACATCGCGAGGAGTGGTCTAGGCCATAAACACGTAACATCGGATCCCTTTACGGCGTCGTCCGTGCCCTCCGAGAGAGCAAACTCGGCCGCCAAGCGCTCCTTTCTCGACCGACCAAACCTGCACAAGTGCACGTTCAAGGCCGAGATGTGTGTGCGCTCGTGGGCGCGGATGTTGCCTAGTGTTGGGGTTTCACTGCCATTGAACTACCACACTGCGTTCAAGGACATTGGGCGTGCCAAGCTTGAGGAGATGGCTGTGGACGACATCGTCGTCCAGTACTTGCTAGTGAATCTCAATATGAAGAAAGCCTGCGTAGAAATTAGCGATTAATACACTTGATATTTGTATTGAATGCGAATATTGTTTGCCGCGCATCTTTTCGGTTCAAGCCAACTCAAGAGGTTTGGTTTAGCTTAGTTTGGTTTGGTTTTGGTTTGGTTTGGTTCAGTCGTCGCTGGTTTGGTTTGGTTTGCTCAATTTGAAACCAGTTTGAGTCGGTTCAAACCGTGCCGACCCCTAGCTGCTGTTTCCTCCTTGAGCGCACAGGCCGTGTGAGCTGCTATATTTGCACGGTGCAACCTCGCGTCGTGACATCATCTCAGTGCAGCCACGGGCACCCTTTTTTCACCGCCCTGAATGGGTCTCAAACGCCGTGGCTAAAATGTGAAGCTCGTCGCAACGAACGAAGGGAAATCTCTCACTCGGACGCCTTCAGAGCCGCACCGAGACCTCCCCGAGGGCACAACTCAGACTGTGGTATTGCAGCGGTTTCTAATATGAACTTAGCATTTGATTTTCATTCGGCTCGGGAAGTGAAAGCTAATTTAAAATAATCGTTATTTATTTTTTAACATAACAAAACTATTTACAGAAAAGTTTTTTTTTTATAAATGTAACTTCTCCTCTTCAGCTGCTTGGTGGGACGGCGCCCCAACACCTCTAGTGAACGAACCGCGGCTGGTTCCAATGTTTCTTAAGTGTTTCGATATTTGCGGGAGAAATGTAGGTGCTTAAAAAAATAGGTTGAAGGTGACTTACAAGCTACATGAACATTGTTTACACATAGTATTAAAAGTCAACATTTATCATATATTTTCCAGAAATATCACGCGTCATTTACAAAAAAAAACATGTCCATAACCACCATCATTCTCCCAAACGATTAAATTACGTAAAATTCGTAACAGTTTTCCCAATCTGCGATAACATAAAAAAACACACCTTGTTACACACTTTAATATAGAAAAACAATAATAACCCATAACGCTGTCTCATAGTGCATGAATGGGCTTATCGCTGGTTCAAGTGTAGTGACATAAGAAGGGAGGGGCTGCTGGGGGCTCTGGGACCCTGGGTGGGCCAGACGCTTAAGCCTCTTGGCACCAGGCGTTGGGTTCTCAGGCGGGTCCAGACGCTTAAGCCTCTTGGCACCAGGCGTTGGGTTCTCAGGCGCTTAAGCCTCTTGGCGCCGCCAACGGGGGGGGGGGGGGGGGGGCTGTGTGTGCTCTGTGGGATGTCTGGTGGCGCACACGTCCCCACCCCTCGTTGGACCAGGCATAAAAGGAGAGCTCCCTGGACGATCGGGGCCCAGTTGTAACTCAAGACCCAAGACCCACGACCAGCCATCTGAAGACCCTGGGATGCTGTGAGAGCCAGTGGTGGGACTCTGGAACTCCCGACTCTACGACCTTGTGAGGGCGAGTTCCAGAGCGTAGCCAGAGTAGAGTATCTAGGCTGTGTACCTAGGCTGTGTACCTAGGCTGTAACAGAGTATCAGGACTGTTGAAGAGTTGGACTGTTGGAGAGTTGGACTGTTGGAGAGTTGGACTGTTGGAGTGTTGTATTGTAATAAAGAAGTTACCTCTACAAGTGTCTCCGGAACCCGTTACACAAGGAAGCTGCACAATGCAAGTGGCAGCAACCACGGGGGTGGAAGAACAGAGCGGGCGAACTGGAGAGGGCTTTATCCTTCCACTCGGGAAGTGAAAGCTAATTTAGTTTTAATATACTCCAGCATAAACTGCATTTGTTCAAGTGCATTACAAATTTATGAAAGTATAGATCGTTTACTTGTTTTTTATTATTCAATTGTTAAACGTTCCTTTATTAACACCACTGCTCCCTAAAGACCTCCCCATGACTTTGCAGTCGTGGACGGTTGTTTCATGCTTCACCGCGTGTGGGCAGTGTGGAATGATGAAGGTGGGCCCAGGACCGGTTCACTTGCCACTGGTGTGAGCCATGACCGGGAATCAGACCCAGGTCTCTAGGTTCATCGTGCAGTGTGCCAACTTTTGCACCACCGTTCTACACCAATCCATTTTTACTATGAGCTTTTAATTAGCTTCCTATTAAGTAAAACAAAAGTATTCCTCAGTAAATTTCGATTTAAAGCTTTCGTGACTGCAGGGATTCATCTTCTTGGTTCTTTCGGTAAAGTCACGTAGAAGGGAAGTAATAAAATAATAAAAATAAAACATAATAAAACAATTCTCACGACGTTTCGGCCACAACGCAAGCAGCCGTCCTCAGGTGAAAACCAGGTCCGTCGAGGCGACAGAGTCTGAATGAAACAGCACACGAGCTTGGAGCATATATATAAGCTGGGCGCATTGACAAAGGAATTTGCATATCAAAATGAATTTAGCATATTTATGGGAAATGCAGGAATGTGATTAGTACTGCATATGCATGTGCATTATGCAGGATTAACAGCATCAAAGGGAGCTGCAGTTACTGCTGCTGCAGCAGTTGCTGCTGCTGCTGCAGTTTCTGCTGCTGCTGCTGCTGCAGTTTCTGCTGCTGCTGCAGTTGCTACTGCTGCTGCAGTTGCTGCTGCTGCTGCACTTGCTGCTGCTGCTGCACTTGCTGCTGCTGCTGCACTTGCTGCTGCTGCTGCACTTGCTGCTGCTGCTGCACTTGCTGCTGCTGCTGCCTTATCCATTTTAATATAACACTATGTATTATTCTACCCACCCTAATGTGTATCATACTGCTATATGTTTACTGTACAATTACGACACCATACATTACTCTGCACACTGCACCATGCCAGTGAGTGGAACGCGGTCTGAAAGTCACCGTAAACGTGAACACAATCAGTTAAGATCCGAAATGGTTTATTACGTCCTTCCAATGATTGCTAAGCCAGAATCCATCTTCAACCGAGAAGATGGATTCTGGCTTAGCAATCATTGAAAGGACGTAATAAACCATTTCGGATCTTAACTGATTGTGTTCACGTTCACGGTGACTTTCAGACCGCGTTCCACTCACTGGCATGGTGCAGTGTGCAGAGTAATGTATGGTGTCGTAATTGTACAGTAAACATATAGCAGTATGATACACATTAGGGTGGGTATAATAATACATAGTGTTATATTAAAATGGATAAGGCAGCAACTGCAGCAGCAGCAGCAAGTGCAGCAGCAGCAGCAAGTGCAGCAGCAGCAACTGCAGCAGCAGTAGCAACTGCAGCAGCAGCAGAAACTGCAGCAGCAGCAGCAACTGCTGCAGCAGCAGTAACTGCAGCTCCCTTTGATGCTGTTAATCCTGCATAATGCACATGCATATGCAGTACTAATCACATTCCTGCATTTCCCATAAATATGCTAAATTCATTTTGATATGCAAATTCCTTTGTCAATGCGCCCAGCTTATATATATGCTCCAAGCTCGTGTGCTGTTTCATTCAGACTCTGTCGCCTCGACGGACCTGGTTTTCACCTGAGGACGGCTGCTTGCGTTGTGGCCGAAACGTCGTGAGAATTGTTTTATTATGTTTTATTTTTATTATTTTATTACTTCCCTTCTACGTGACTTTACCGAAAGAACCAAGAAGATCATTCCTCAGTAGAGAGACGCTTTGATAGAGGTGGAAAGGAACGTGTGGCACTTGTTCAGTGCTTATCATGGTCATAAGTTTATGGGGGGGGTTACAATTAAAAGCATATTTGATTATTATAAACACCGATTAAAGTACTCATTGTGATTGCAATAACGTAACATCAACGTACACATTCATTGATGGTTGTTGATTACAAACAAACAAAACGTTTTAAACTTTTTTTTTCTGTGCCAGCGACGCATTAAACTAATGTATTATGCTGCAATCAGAATCCTTATTTATCCTGGAGCAATCCGATGAGCTATAAAGCTCTTTTTCACATGTGTCCAATCGGGCCAGATTATAAAATTACAACAATACGAAAACACAATAGCAGTGCAAAGTACAGGAAAGGTAAGTAAATCACAAAAGACACTCCATGAACCATGGCCGGTTTAACCACGAGGTCGCTGGGGCACCGTATCCATTAATTTTTTAATTTTAAAAATATTAAGCGCACCAGACCACGAAAGAGGTTTCTGAACGCTGTACAGCACAATATCCGTAATTGGTAGCACCCTGCACTGCACAATAGTCCCCAGCCTCATGGTTTTTTGTGGTTTAAGCCCATCCAGTCTGCTCGATTCTGAATCCAAGTTATCCAATTTTCTACCGTTAGGCATACATATATAGTCTGCATTGCCATGGCAGGGACAGTTATATCCACAAGACAACCACTCAATCCATTCCCCCCCCCCCCTCTCTGTCTCTCATCCCTGGTTCCTCCCCCCTCTCTTGCCTATATAGCCTCTTGTTACAGCAGCCCTTTTGTCCACTTCTGCAATTGTTTCTTCTTATGGTTGTCCCACCTGATGACGGATGCTTGTGTTGCGTACGAAACGTCGTGATTTAATTTCTTTTATTTTATGCCTACGTGACTTTACCGAAAGAACCAAAGAGTAAAGACAACCACTGTTGACATCCCAAAGAGTAGTATGAATTTGACTAATTCAGGAGGGATAATGTAATATGCCGTTCCCCAGACTGCCGTTTGAAATTACAAGCTTTAAACTATGAACTGAATACTCTAACCCGATTGCACATTGTGTCACATTATTGCTTTGACCATACATTGCATTGCACAGAGCAGATTGTTTTGCCTCGTGAATAATTGACACCATTTTAAAGTATAACTCCTATTTGAAAGTCGGGAGGTGGTGTGGTAGAGATCCAGACGAACAATCCAGAGATCTTGCGTTATTATTCCAGTTGGCAGGTTGACGCATTACATTATAATTATGAGGTACATAAAATGAGTACCCCTTGTGAACAATGTAAGAGCAACTGCTCTTTGAATAGATTAGTCCCACACTTAACAGCAACGGTAGGGTTATTGTGTGTACCTAGCCCTGCGAGAAAGTTAGCTGGAAAATACAAGGAGGGATAGAATGGGGAGGATAAGCAGAGCCAGGGAACGAGGTGGACCACCATGTGGGGCGCTGTTGCATTCATAGCTATTTATGATGCACCCACGAGCATCCTCATAGGCATCTACCACATCGTTGAGTACCATTTTTCGAATGCGTTCTTTAAAGACACAATCCAGGTCCGAAGCACAGCTCTTGTAAGTGAATGTGTAAATCCCTGTTTAAAAACACAGACACGTGAAAGAATAAAATACATTAAGGAAATCAGAACAAGTGATATCCCTTTCAATGAACAGAGAAGACAAAAAATAATTGCTTTGTATGAAGGCAGCACAACAGTGAGGTTCACCTTACCAACAGTTACGTTTGCAGCGACACAGGATTCTTGTCCAGGGAGACAACGTACTGGACTCAAATCATTCTCCATTCCCCCTTGGCAGGTAAACCCTTTTGCTAAAGGATATTTTTAAAAGAGACATTAAGTGACCTCCATATCACAAGGTGCATCGCATCAATTTTGATCAATTTTAAAACTAAAATAACTAATTGTCAATAAAAAATATGTAAATCATAATAAATACCGAAACAATATTTCAAACGTGCACAATTCGACTTAATATATTTAAGAGGCATCGTACCGTATTACTATTTACACTGTTGCTGTTTGACCCATGTACAAACCCACAATTAGCTGTCTATCTTTCCATTCTACTCTGATTTTACTGAGTACGTTGGAAAATATATTCTGATTGAAGTAAACAAACATAAACTTCTTTGATAAACTTCAAGCATCTTTTATAGATCATTCTCATCACTCCAATTGCTTGTCTTGTTCCCGATATAAATTGGCCTTTACAATGTATGCCTCTGCCTTGATTTTTATCCTTGATTGAATAATGTTTAGCATAACCATTGACGTCTGGTATCACACAAATTTTTTTAACTCTGAGACGATAGTTGCATTCAGTTTCTTTGGAATTGGTATAAATTCAATTCATTAAAATATGTTGGTAATTTTCTTCTCTCATACGGATAGTTCACAAAATCTAGTCAAATCACATAATACAGGTAGGAACAACAGTTCCACACTGCCCACCAGGGATTATGGCCCCGCCCCACCAGAGCCCTCCCATTGGCTCGCGGGCGCCGACCAATGGGAGCGGTGGGTTGGGGTTGGTAGGGGGGAGGGAGTTAGTGGTGGGGGGGGGCACCGCCGCGACTTGGGCCAATGAAGAGACGGGCGATGTTTCATTCACAAAATTGAACTGGGGGAGGGTGGCTCCATTCATAAAATGGAAGCCTTGAAAAAAAAAGCGGATCTTTTTGTCTCGTGTTTCTTTCAACATTCCCAGCCTTAAGGTGATTCAGTTGAGGGTGGGAGGGGTGGGGCTGGGTGGGGAGGGGCTGGGTGGGGAGGGTCGAGCTGGGTAGGGAGGGGCTGGGTGGGGAGGGTGGGGCTGGGTGAGGGGCTGGTCACCCCATGGTGCCCTTATGAAACTCAACGTTTAACCTACACGCTACACTTATACAGGTAGGAACAACAGCTTCCACACTGCCCACCAGGGATTATTTGTCTGTCTGTCGTGCACGAATGCGCTGTCCAACCAAGTTCCTACCTCCCCACTCCAAAGGAACGTGTTTTCTGAAGGCATTCCGTCAAACCCTGCTGCCGTCGCGGGCTTCATGCTTTTGATAACTGCGATGACTTTAACTTTTAGAATAACAGGAACTTTGGCTTTTTAGTCCCACCTTTTCCTCTTCTTCTATGTCAAGTCTGACTGGCTTCCTTCTTGACAATATAGAGCCTCAAAGTGCACTTAACCCTTCTGCGATTTTCCTGTTTTCTCTCTATGCTACCACTGGCAGGGTTCATCACTCGTTTGTGATTTGGTTCACATCTTTCTACAGTGATTCTGACCTTCACTGTCTGTTACATTATTCTAGTTGTTAAAATTCCATTCCTCACCAAGTTAATATGTTACTGCATGATAAGTAATTTATGTAGAATGCTCTATATTTATTTGTCATGATGTTAATATAACAGATCGCAATACTGAACTTTATTTTGGAAAAAACAAAAAAACATTCCTAACTTATAACTTTATTATATTGGATATTGTGATGATTTTCTAATAAACAGTAGTCATTTATTTTCTCATGTTAATACTTGTTTCCTAAATGTCACGTTAAATAATTAACTCACAAAAACATATTTGTCACTCACAGTGTGTCATTACATTCAAGCAGCGATATAGATTAATATTAATTTGATATATACACCAACATATTTGTGTGCACCTTAAATTAGGATTGCGATTGATAAAATTAAGATTTCACTTACCCTTATGAGGAAAATTTGTCACAGATTGCTTGAGGAAATCTAAAATAGTATCTGAAAAACAAAATGTAAATCACTTTACGAACTGTAACATGAGCAATGTATATGTAATATTGTAAATTACGGCGGGAGACCACTTGACGGGTAGCACACTTTATAAACTCTTTCCTTGGGCACAATGACTCGTGTGGACACTACAGCTCACGCTACCCGTTCCACCCGGCTACACACACACGGGCTCTCCAGCCCCGTAGCTTCCAGGGGAACCTAGAGACCCACCCCAGCTTGGGTATGGGTCACGCCCACTGGGTCCCGTGGCCCGGCCCTCACACGGACGTCCGGCCCCAGGTCCCAAGGTCCCGCCTCTGAGCCACACAGGGTCCCGGCCCTTACAAGGACAGCGGGACTAGGGGTCTCAGGGCCCTACCTCTTCCTCCTCCGTCTTCCGTCTTCACTGGTCACCCACTCCTCGAGCGCCCGCGCGCACCGCCTTATATAGCCCTCCGCTCCCGAGGAGACGGAGCCTATGCGGACCGCGATGTGAGCACCCACCCTAGTCGACCAATCACGACGCGCTGCCATACGATCTGTTTTCCCAGCGCGTGTTACCACCACACAACCAATCACCCCGCGCTGCCACACGATCACTCCCTGTCAGCGCGCGTCACCAACACACAGCCAATCACCACCACATAACCCATGACCCCGCGCTGCCCTATGATCCCTCACCGTCAGCGCGCGTCACCGACACACAGCCAATCACCACGCGCTGCCACACGATCCCTACTGCCAGCGCGTATCACCACTACATCACCCCCTCCCACATAGCTCGCAGCCGGCCCGGCTGCCAAAAACAAAACAAAAAAAACCCCACTCTCCAAGTGTGCCCCGTAACATTAACCACAATGCAACACAGCAACACAACACAACAACACAACACAACAACACAACACCTGAACGTTAACTAGTAACAAGAACGAACTATGTACAAACCGACGAGTAACCGAATAAAAGTTATTTCGAAAAGACCGACGAGTCCAGTGCCTCCTCGACTCCCGACCCCCCTCCCGCTTGCTCCTTGAATGGAACGATAGAGCGGTCGAACGGACGGGGAATGCCGTGACGAGACGGTCCGGCCGACTCGTCCCGCACCTCCACCTCATTTATTGGGTCAGGAAAAGTTGCGCGATCTAGCGCGAGTCCGCCTGGCCGGTCCGTCGTATGGGACAGGACGCTGTCGACCGTCCGGTGGCTCCGGCAGCCCAGGAAGGCACGGATCGGGCCTGGAAGAACCGTCCGTGCCGCGGGGATCCGGTCGCCGGTCGTCGGCAGCCGTCAGTTCCGAGACACCTGGGAGCGGATCAGGCGAAAACATGTGAGGATCAGGCGGAGACATTTCCCTCCCCGGGTCGTCGGTAACATCACATGCTCGGTCCTCCCGACACAAAGGAAGGCCATATGGTGGCGAGAACGGTTTCAGCCGGGAGGGGTGAACGTACCAACGTCGCTTTCCCCATTTTATCTGCACACACTGGGGGCGTGCAACCCGCACGACCTCCACGGGTCCCCGCCATGGCCTCAATAATTTAGGCGACGTAGCCAAAGGTGCATGAGGGCAATGCAGCCAGGCCCTATCGCCCGGTTTCCAATCGTGCACGGACACCCTCCGTGCACGCAAGCGCTCGTTGGCGATTTGGCGAGACCTCGAATTAAGCCGTGCGGCCTCCCGTGCCTCGGCCAGTTTTGCAATGTTAAATTTAATATGGTCGGCCAACTTGGAATTAAGCCGTGGCACGGAAAGTCCCAGCTGAGTCTCCATGGGCGGATCGGCCTCCCGACCGTACATCAGATAAAATGGGGAAAATCCCGTTGCTGCATGGGGGGCCATTCTGTACGCGGCGAGGACCCCCGGGACCTGCAAGTCCCAGTCAACCTGTGCCTCGCACACCTGCTGGCACAACATGGAAGTTAAAGTTCTGTGGAGCCGCTCCACCATCCCGTCAGTCTGTGGGTGGTACGGGGAGGTACGCACATTTTTTGTACCCAACAGGTCGCACACCTCCTGCAGCAATTTGCTCGAAAAATTCTTTCCCTGGTCGGTCAGCAAGCGTTCGGGAGCCCCCTTGTCCAAGACGTAGCCTTGGACAAAGGCGTCCGCTACGGCCGCCGCCGACTGGTTGGCGAGTGGCCACGCCATAGGCCATCGGGTAAAGTATTCCACACCAACCAACAGGTACTTGTTACCCCTAGGCGTGACAGGAAAAGGCCCCAAAATATCCAGCGCAACGAGCTCGTTAGTGCGCGAGACCTGAATGGACTGCAGCGGTGGATTCGGCGCAACGGGCGGTGGTTTCCGTTTGGCGCAATCCACACCCCTTCAGTATATTGACCACATCGCTCCCCATCCCCGGCCAATAATAGTCACGCTGGAGCAGAGCGAGCATTTTGTTTACACCCAAATGCAAGAGGCGCTCGTGTGCGGCCAGAACAACTTTGCCCCGCATAGCGGAAGGCACGACGAGTGCGTGCTGCCGGGACATATTGTCCCATCTCATTAGCAGGCCCTGCTTGAGCAGCCAGGAGCCAGCTCGCTTTCGACCCTCCTCGGGACCCCCCGCCCTGCGACGCAACGCGAGCAGGGAGCTGTCAGCCATCTGGAGTCGGCCCCACTCAACGAGAGACAGTGAGAGTAGCGAGTCCCCGCCCGCAGGGGTAGCGGGAGCGTCAACCATCGGCGCATTCGCGGCCGCGACCAACTCACTCTCAGGTACAGCACCTGGCGGTTTACAGCGCGCCGACCCCATCAAGCACGCACATTCGGGACGAGGCGACAACCACGACAGGGCATCCGCGTTGGTGTGGCGCAACCCCTTACGGTAAGTGGTCGTAAATTGATAGTCCTAGAGGACTTCCAACCACCGTGACAATTGGCCTGAGGGTTGGGCGACCCTGAATGAATACTGAAGCGCCGCGTGGTCCGTCCGGACCGTAAAATGACGGCCATAGAGATAAGGTCTAAATTGCTGTACAAAAAAAACAATAGCCAGCAACTCGCGACGGGTGACGCAGTAGCGCTGTTCCGCAGGTGACAAAACCCTGCTACCATAGGCGACCACCCGTTCAACTCCCCCAACGACCTGTGAGAGCACCCCCCCAATGCCCGTGTTACTAGCATCAGTATCCAGCAAGAAGGGACTCGTAAAGTCAGGGTAACGTAAGGGCGGGGCACCCACCAAGGCGTCCCGGAGGGAGCAGAACGCGGCCTCCTCCTCTGGCCCCCATCGAAACCTGACACCTTTGGCTGTTAGAGCGTGCAAGGGTTTGGCAATGGTGGCGAAATGCTCAACGAATCGGCGGTAGTAGGAAGCAAAACCAATGAAGCTGCGGACCTCAGAAACCGACGTGGGCGTTGGCCATGAACTGACACAGTTCGTCTTCGCGGGATCGGTGGAGATCCCTGAAGAATCGACAATGTGGCCCAAGTACCTCACGGATTTCCGAAGAAGGTGGCATTTCGCCGGTTTAAACTTTAACTTAGCCGATCGCATCCGCAAGAACACCCCTCTTAATCGCTGGAGGTGTTCCTCAAAAGTTTTACTGAAAACAATCACATCGTCGAGGTAAATTAAGCAAGTATCCCATTGCAGACCCGACAAAACCAATTCCATGAGGCGCTGAAACGTCGCGGGAGCGGAATGGAGCCCCATGGGCAAGCGGTTGAACTGGAACAGGCCCACTGGGGTCCGGAATGCGGTCTTAGGTTTAGACTCATCGTCGAGTGGCAACTGCCAGAATCCCGAAAGTAAGTCAAGCGTAGAAAAATACCGCGCCCCGGATAATGCGTCCAGGGACTCATCCATCCTAGGGAGCGGATATGCGTCAGCCACAGAGATTTTATTAAGGCGACGGAAATCTACACAAACGCAAGGACCCGTCTTGCTTCTTAACCAGCACGATAGGTGCTCCCCACGGACTGGATGAGGGCGAAATGATGTCGGCCGTCAGCATGTCATTGACGGCCGATTAAACGTGTTCCTTCTCGGCAGGACTCAGCCGGAAGGGATTCTGCCGGACTGGTGCCGCGTCACCTGTTTCAATGTGGTGGCGTAACAGGTCCGTGCACCCAATATCATATTTGTGCGTGCTGAACACATCGGAGAATTCGATCAGCAGAGCGCGCAGCGCACCCAATTGCACCCTTGACAAATCAGTGGAGTCCGCACACAGCGAATCGACCCATCCAAGGTCATCACCCGATAGAATTTTCTGCGCCGGGACGGGATCAACATGTGCAATAAGGCGCTCTTCCGCAGGGACCCATGCCGCATGAGCAAGCACGGTGCCCTGCGGAATAACGGCCGGCCGCGAACCAGCGTTTAAAACCATAACGAACGGGTCCTCGTCAGCCCGAACCAACGTTTGAGCCACCGCCAAATCCAGACCGCCGACAGCTCTATTCGATGGACCCAAAAGCACGCCTTGTCCCGCAGTCTCTCCACCCAATGGCTTCCGCAACCGGAGGGGTATCAACATCTGCGAACCCGGGGGCACGTGCACCGTCTGTGTCGCTAGCGCTTGGATCGTCGCGCACGCCGTCCGTATTTCAGTAGGGTTAGATAAAAATGAAATACGGCGACCCGATGGCAGCTCAATACAACGTTGATCTACGAGAATTTTAATGGGCATCTTAGCCAAAAAATCTGTGCTCAACAGACAAGGAACCGCTAGGGAAGAGGAGACGAAAACAGGTCCCGCCAATTTAATATCCCCTATGCAAATGGTCGCCCGAATCTGACCGATAATACCCAACGAGCCCCCATTTGCAGCGTAAAATGGCACGTCCACCGGAAGCAGAGGTCGACATTGGACGGGGAGAATGTTATAAATGAGGTCGGAAATTATAGTCGCCGACGCTCCCGTGTCCACCAACACCCTGACCTCGACCCCGTCTATGAATCCCGTAATGACCGAGGAACCAGCCGACGCAGCCACTATTCTGTGGCCCAACTCGGACCATTTAATGTCCCCCCGGCCCCGTACGAACCCCCCTCTCCGAACCGAATCCCCGACCCCCAATCGCACATCCTCCGCCGCAAAGCGACGGCCCATGTGTGTCGTGTATGTAGGCCGAGCATGTGAAGTGCCGCGACTTGCCGGGGGTAGTTGGGACGACTTGGGGCCTTGGTCGTCGTCCAGCCGAGGTCCCGTGGCACGCTGACGTGGAGCGCGGCACCCGGACGCCACGTGGCCCCGAAGGCCGCAGTTGTAGCACGTGATGAAGGACGTCGGAGGTCTCGGTTGCTCCAGCTTGCGGGTCGATCGCAGAGGCGAACGACCCCCCGACCTCCAATCCCCCGGTCGTGCTGCAGCGAACGCCTCCTCCCGTGGGTGAACGACCTGGGGCTCGGTGACCACCGTGGCCGGAGCTGAGACCCCGGCAGCAGTGCAGATGACCACCTGTTTCCGCTTCAGGACCTCGTGCGCCTGGATACTCGTTGCAACACGCAACGAACATATGTCGACTTCGTCGGCTGTGTTGATGGGGACCCCCAGGTCGTGCGCCAACTTCAGCAGTTGTTCCAAAACTATAGCGTCCTGCCCCTCCTCGTCCATACGAGGGAACGCGGTGTCCGCGAGGGCCAACAACGCCGTGGGGTAGGCGAGCGCGGTCTCCGTGTCCGCCTTCCGTCGTTCGTAAAATTGGTGGCGGCAGGCCGAAGGTGGGCCGTACACCTTGGCCATGAGGCCCAGCGCAGCCTTAAGCGTGGAGCGGGCCGATCTCGGTGAGGACCTGAAGGCCGCGAGCGCGTCGTCGTCCAACATGGCAGGCAGTGCCCGCAGCGCCGTAGCGTCGGACCAGGCCGACATCTCTTGATGGGCGAGAAATCTTCGCTGGAATGCGCCCCAGTCACCCCCTTCCGCTTTGAAGGCTGTCAACGCGGGAAGACGCTGCTGGAAAATAATGTCGTCCTCCGCCTCGTGACCCTCCCGCGCCGCACCGTCGACATGCAAAATGGCGGCCCCGCTGATGACGTGAGCGGCAGACATTGGAGGACCCCCGCCACGTGTTGCTCGCGATTCCCGCCAACAGATGGTCGATCGGCAGAAATGGTGGGAATTTCAAAGTTATTTTGGCGTGAATCGGCAAAGCAACCCCTTTCAATGTCCGTCGGCGTTCTCGCTCCTCCAGCCGTGGTGATCTCCGCTAGGATGGACGCCGCGGCGAGTAGCAGCTCTGCCAGGCGGGAGTGCGCGTCGCGGAGTCCGGCATCAGCCCCCAGTGGCTCGTTGGGCGCCCATGAGGGGTCCTGTGGCGCCGGCATCTCCTCCTCTTCTCCCCCCGATGCCTGCTGGGCCGAGTCGTCGTGGTTCTCCTCCCGGTCACGCTCGTGAGTCCAATGAGTCTTCCTGGTATCCATGGCTGGAAGACTGTTTCACTTCTGACGCCAGTTGTAATATTGTAAATTACGGCGGGAGACCACTTGACGGGTAGCACACTTTATTAACTCTTTCCTTGGGCACAATGACTCGTGTGGACACTACAGCTCACGCTACCCATTCCACCCGGCTACACACACACGGGCTCTCCAGCCCCGTAGCTTCCAGGGGAACCTACAGACCCACCCCAGCTTGGGTATGGGTCACGACCACTGGGTCCCGTGGCCCGGCCCTCATACGGACGTCCGGCCCCGGGTCCCAAGGTCCCGCCTCTGAGCCACACAGGGTCCCGGCCCTTACAAGGACAGCGGGACTAGGGGTCTCAGGGCCCTACCTCTTCCTCCTCCGTCTTCCGTCTTCACTGGTCACCCACTCCTCGAGCGCCCGCGCGCACCGCCTTATATAGCCCTCCGCTCCCGAGGAGACGGAGCCTATGCGGACCGCGATGTGAGCACCCACCTTAGTCGACCAATCACGACGCGCTGCCATACGATCCGTTTTCCCAGCGCGTGTTACCACCACACAACCAATCACCCCGCGCTGCCACACGATCACTACCTGTCAGCGCGCGTCACCAACACACAGCCAATCACCACCACATAACCCATGACCCCGCGCTGCCCTATGATCCCTCACCGTCAGCGCGCGTCACCGACACACAGCCAATCACCACGCGCTGCCACATGATCCCTACTGCCAGCGCGTATCACCACTACATATACAAGCCAGAACTAAGACCTATATATGTATGTTACAGTTAAACCGTTACTGGTGTAATCAGGGAGTGTGTGCTGCTTCCGAACATCGATGGGGCCTACGTGACAGCCCACTGTGTGAATGCAGAGAGCCAGAAGTCCATGGTGCACCGTCGTCATCGGCTGTGAAGTGCGTCAGGGAGTGCCGGGCGGATTGATTGCCCTGCACGTGCTGGAGGAAGAAGCTGCAAAGTGGCTCTCTGGGCTGACGTCCACTCAAATAACATTTATTTACCTACTAGCGGGAAGTACCCGGCGTTGCCCGAGCGAAAAAGACAGACACACACATCGACTTACACACACTTACAGACATTGACCCACACACACACATCGACTTGCACACACACACACACAGCGACTCACACACACAGACAGAACTTTAGATACACACACACATATCGACGTACACACATACAACGACTCACACAATCACATCGACTCACACAAACATACATAGACTCACACACACAACGTCCTACACACAAACACATATCGACTCACACACACAGACATCGACTTTAGATACACACACATGGAGTTACAACAACAACTGCCATTCGCCACTAAGTGGCGGTGACGTCACCACGACGCTTGTGCCAGGCCATGTGCACCTTGAGGCCACGTGAAGTGTCGAATGCCCGCTGGCAGGAGGTCATGGGGCAGACCCAGGTGCCACGGGTCGACTGACTGAGATGACCGAGATGACTGTCTGATGCACCACCTGTGCCCCCTACTGTGCCAACTTGCTGTGCTTTAGCCACCCGGCGCTCCGCTCGTTGTTGTGAGCGTCGTTCCTCCTCCCTCCGTTGTTGCTGGAGGGCGACTGCCTCCAACTGCCCAGTAGCGTCCTTCACGAGCCTCCTCCACAGAGGCCGATCTTGACACCGCTGGTACCAGTCATCGGCAAGTCCACTCAGCTCCACGTCCTCCTGTACCACATCACTCCATCTCTTCTCTAGCCCATGCCGCGCCCGTTTAGCCCCCTCGATCCGGCCCGAACAAAAGCTGTTTAGGCATACGGTGGCTGGGCATGCGGGCTACATGACCTAGCCAACGCAGCCTTGCCTGCCGGAGGAGCTCACCGATGGGACTTTGCCCAGATCTTTCAAGAATTTGTGAGCTCCTCTACACAAAATTAATCAAATTTGATATGCTGAATAAAAGTGGGTGGCTTGCATAAAGCAAATTAAATACATCTTAAAGAAACCACCAACTTTTATTCAGTACATCAAATTTGATTAATTCTGGGGTCAAAATAATGTATTTTCTACTTTTGAGTGCAAATAAAAGTGTGTGCATCGAAAAACCAAATGTTTTATGATCATTGCTGTACTTTACAAAATAGACCGTGCGATTATTGTGGATCGTATATCGTTATAGTCATATCACGGCAAACCTACGCTTTACGTTGAGTCAAACCACTCCTACTCCCTTTGCAATGGGGCAAGAATAACAAAACACAAGCTGTGCGAGTATTACTCGGATTAATTCCTTTTTTTTGCGGATTATTATTCATACCAATTAGTCTTTCTTTTTGCGGAGGCGTGTCTGAATCCTGTGCTGTAAAATATAAAAACACAGACACACATTATACTGATGTATTATTAGACGCAGGGTGGAGCTAGATAAGCCAGTTCTGCACCGCCTACCCCCCACACTCACAACCATTACCATCCTGTGCTGACCAACATGGTGAATTATGGTCAAACAAATCCTCTGACTAATATTGGTTGGGAGAAGTCTTCTTTCAACATTTAATTAACAATCAGTAGATTTTTTGTAAGCAGCCTCATCTCTAATGGACGAGAACAGATTGAAGTGCTTTTGGAAAACATACCATTGTGCTGAAGACGCATGTTTTTAATCAGTGAACATTATCTGCTATGACAAATGAATGTGTAACATGGACATTGACAAACAAAATGGAACAAGGGCTGAAAAGTACAAAGAAGCATGGGGAGATGCATGCTTGCAGTTACACTTAGAGAAAACAAAATGAACAACAACACACAGATAAGAGAACATTCACTTTTTAGGAAGTAAATGGGCTAGGACAGGAGACATTACTTGAAGGAATGGGACTAAAGATGGAATGGCAGCCTAATGAGGGAGAACACCCAAGGGGATTGCCAGTGCAGACAGAGATGATTCCAATAAACTCGTGTACAGGATCTACATGGATTGTTACATCATGAGGCCATAAGAGATGGCAACAGCTTGGAGATGCTTTCATCTAGCAGTGGATGGCAAATGATCACGCAAATTGACGTTTACAACAGAAATCGTGACTCAAGAATAAATGTAGGAAAACAGGACTATATAAATAATACAACTATTTATAACTCTAAATTTCGATTTAAAGCTTTCGTGACTGCAGGGATTCATCTTCTTGGTTCTTTCGGTAAAGTCACCTGAGGACGGCTGCTTGCGTTACGGCTGAAAAGTCGTGAGAATTGTATTTTATTATGTTTAATTTTTATTATTTTATTATTTCCCTTCTACGTGACTTTACCGAAATAACCAAGAAGATATTTATAACTCGCACATGTTTATGAAAAGGCAAGACAATTTCCAGTCGCGACTCAGAAGCTCGACTTGAAATGTTCTTGCAATAACCAAGTTATTTATGTTGGTAGTGTGCTATATATATTCTACAAGGTGTGTACATATATTTCCTTCCCCCTCACCTCCAATTAGCAAGGTTGGCTACGTACGGTGCGGAAGAAGTTCAACAAACAAGTTCAACATACATAAGCAACAAGTACAAAACACATTTTGTCAGAATTCGCGCCCAGCTGAGAAACTCACCTTGTGCGTGAACGATGAACAGCATCAGGCACAGCGTGCTCATTGCAATATTCATGACTCGATTTTGTTGAAGCTATCTCACCTTAAAAAAAGTAAAGCACAAAAATGTGAAAACATTCCAACATTTACCAGTGGTAGAACTACTACATCTGTTAACCGTGAGACAGGTGATGCTGAAAAATTAGCACGGCTGTAAAATATCGAAATGTGCAACCAACACGTTGATAAAGCCAAATTCTGTCATACTGTCTCCCACTTAAAGTTTCTCACTAAAGTTCACGAAAGTTACCATGTGCACTGTTTTGACAAATATGCACTTCAATTGAAATAAATTACTGTACAATGACATGTGTAGCCCTTTGTCAATCTACTGCTGGATGAGATCCTCGCCACGCCGTGCAGGCCATGGAGGTGGCTTGACCATACTTCACCACACTGGTTAGTGTAGGTTGGTGAAGCCAGGGATCATAGACGTGGGAGCACAATAGAGTACAACAATTGATTTTGCTCCACTGCCCTCTGCTTGCCCACAATGTGGCTCCACATGAGTGTCTAATATTTGTTGTACGCATATTGTCACCCATCCAAATACTACCCAGGCTCAAACCTACTTGGTCTCCATTGTATTGGTCGTTACTGTGTTTCAATAATTTACGTATGAATTTACTTTGTCCCTTAAAATATATTTAGAATCTGTATTTTTATCAATCTTTCGGAAGATTTTGAACAGAAAAAATGTTTATTACCGTCACATTTTAAAACTGCCGTTTTACACTTTGACAGTTAAGTAATGGCAAACCCGAAGACTCTTATCTTTCCATCCGTGGTTACTGGTACAAACTTCTCGATGCACATATTAACTAAAACTAAATCTAATTATTTTTTTATTTAACCAGGTGAAGCCCACTGAGCTCTATAGCTCTTTTTCAGAAGCAACTTTGCCACAAATGATAGCTCAACGAAGTGGCTTATCATGACGTGAAAATGTATAGCAGCCAAATACTCTAAATGCATGCTTCTAAGTGTGGAGGGAAAAACTGGAGGGCCTGAGAAAAATCCACGTGCCCATAGGGAAAACATGCAAACTCCAAATATACAGACATCACGATCAGGATCGAACCCACAACCTCGTGTATACCAAGCGAGGTAGTTAACATCTCGCCAATTTGGCACACTATAAATGTTCAAAAGCAGGTGATTAAGAGTAATGTTGCAGACTCGCTTGAATAAATGCAGCATATAAACACTATCCTTGTATCTTTAGCTAGTTTTTTAAAACATCTTCAACTTATGGATAGTATCTATTTTTCTTTTTACAGACCCTATTGGTATAGTTGGCTAAACAATTTAGATGAATTTTAACAATTTAGTTGCGAGGCATCTGTTACACAGCTGATACCAGATGAAGAAGCTCCGTCGAGTAGATGTTTTGAGGGGAGTCTTGTCGAGCCTGATCCAAACGGTCAAATTCAGCTCACAGTTATAAAGGTACATCCATGTCCTGTGGGCGGGCTCAGAGCCAGTTTTTTTGTCAGTGGCTGACATTTCCCCAAGCCTTGCCCAATGTGTGGGAGGAGTTTTTACAGTCTTACGTTTGAGTGTCTCTACTATGATATGTTATGCCTATGTTTTCAAGTGCTTTCTTCATAAGGGCTTCTTACGTAAATCTTTCATGGGTCAGTAGTTTGAACATATGCCACAGTTAACATGACAAAGCAAATATTTGATACACTTAGTTACTATTCATTGATATACTCAAGCATTGGTAGGATAGTCACCTCTGAGAAACAAATATACCAAGCGTATAATGGGAAGAACATATCGCACAATATTGGAAGGGGGGAAACTACAAGTAAATGCTTTATAATTTAGATAGTATTTACGGGACGATGTGGCTGCATCGACTGCTGAATGTTGCTGGTGTGAAACACAACTTTCACTAACTCTTTTGTCAACCTCCTGATGGTTTAATTTAGTCTGTTGTTTTTTCCCCACGTTTTCTTTTGGTAATTTTCCCACAACTAAAAGCAGCTTTATTTCAAACAATAAACGTCTTACTTTCCACTCGCAGCACTTCCCTGTTTAAAATGACTTTGCTATGCTGTATTCCACTTTGTACTGGTCTTGCCTGTAACAACCAGCACATTCTTCTGAAAATGGTACACGTTCACCAGAAACAAATGTTATCAGATCATCTATTCTCTGGTTACCCTTTGGAGTTTGCAATTTCACCAAATATGAAACTGCGTAAGAACACGACTTTCAACTTTCACAATTGTGTAAGTGAAGGCTCTTGGGTGCTTAATGTTGCTACCGTCGAATACAACTTTTCACGATGTCAACCTCCCCATGGTTTAATTTAGTCACTTGTTTTTTTTCCACGTTTTATTTTGTTCTTTTCCCATTACACTGTCCTGATCCCCTCACTACTCATGGCTCTTGTCGGGCCTCCTCATATTCTCGCTGTTGTTTCCTTCTAGTTATTGTCTTGGACCTCTCGATGATTTTCTATTCAGGAGATACATGAGGAATGGCTTTTATTGACCTAACCACGACCTTTAACGACGTGAAAAAATAACCTCTATGGAAGGTCATACACCACTATGGCTGCCCATAGAGGATCACTTCTATCATCAGATAGTTCCATGTTGATATTTGTGGCAGTACTCTCCTGTGGAAAACAATCTGAATTCTTTACTGTCAGATCTAGGAGGCAGAGAAATGCTTCCTTCCACCCACATGTTTCTTCATCTTTCTTGCTACTTTCCTTTCCCATGCCTGATGTGCACATGGTTTGCATAGAGAGTACCATGCTGATGGTAAGCCCTTCAACCCTTGATGTTGACAGGCCAAATCAAAGGTCGTAAAAACACCAATCACTGAGACTCAGTATGGTGACGATTGTGCTATAACAGCTTTTGCAGGGCTTGACCTACGGTCAATTTTGGATTTCTTTGTCAACGCCTATGACCAGTATGGATTGGATGTGAATGTTCGTGAGACCCAGGTACTTTTAAAACCAGCCCAGGGCTCCTCCCCTACACCTCAACGATGAATAAAAATACATTTACCTGTGAAACGGTCAGTTTTTCCTTCATCAAAATGTCACTGGAGATGAGGAGATTCAATATTGCCTCTCCCAAGCCTCTGCAGGATTGTTCGCGAAGAGAAAGTGATACGGACCATACGAAAGTAATTGTCTAACAGGCAACTTCCACGCTAGTGTATCGCTGCGAACCCTGAATACCATGCAAGTGACACCTATCCCCTTGAGAGATTCCATCAATGGTCTCTTTGATCTTTCCTGCACATCTGCTGACGAGTGCACTCGACTTCACTCAGGGGTTGTGAAAAACAATTCCCTCGTCTCAAATCACCACTGGCAGAACAACTTTTCTGAGGTGCCACAGAGCCTTCATTCAACGACCCTCACCATCCCCCCCACCCCCCATGCAGCGAGCCATTTGCCAGGGGGACGCCTTGGTGACCCAGTCCCACCGAGACCCCCAAAGGAATGGCAGAGGGACCAAAGGTGCTCCCGAAGGAGGTAGGAGGCGAGGGGCAGGAATCGGGGCTTCGAGTCGCACCTACAATACGCAAAAGTTGGCGAAAGAATTCGAACGTATGTACGCATAGTTGGCAAGACCATGGGTGCCTGAGGTAAGTCTGGAGGTCTGGGAATCCCCATATCTAGCTGAAGGATGCGTTAATGTTAGCCTAATTAGAAGGTAAATTAGTGTCAATGGGTGAGCGTTAAGCTGATAGGAGTTAGCTAGAGTTGGTCGAATAGGTTGGGGGCCGTCCATAAATGACGTCATGCACCTGGGGAGGGGGGGGGGTCAGACATTTGTGACGATGTGTGACGAGGGGGGGGGGAGGTTTGAGAAATGTGACGCCACATCAAAATGCGCAACTTTAAATAAATATAGACAACACGTTCTACTTAATTAAATATACGTTTTAATAAATGTTTTCTCCTACAACATCTGAGTGCAGGGCCACATTAAATATGCACTACAATGACAATAGTTTAAAGCGATTTGAAGCATATTTTATTTTCTTGGCAGGGGGGGGGGCAGAGCTTTGTGACGTCATATTTGAGGGGTGTCTGCCTTTTTGTGACGTGTGACGAAGGAGGGGGGTCAAAATCGTCCAAAATCGCGTCACGTCATTTATGGACAGCCCCTTGGAGTTAGTATTGTATTGTTTGTTAGCTCGTGTTGGTGTTGTTTAGTGTTAAGGGTAGTGACTTTGATTGAGTGTACACGATTGATGTTTGTTCAATAAAGTGTTTGGACTTGTCCCGTGTTGGTGGTGTGCGTTGTGAGTCGGGCAGGTGCAGGGCCAGCTGAAATAGACTCGGGTGCGTGGTAGGGCCGAGGGGTAGTGTCCCAGAGTAATACATTTGTAGTGACATCGCTGGATGTCACCATGCTGTGGGTGCAGTACCGGCCCTAGAGGGGCACGGTGTGTGATGTAGCGACATCTCTGGATGGCACCATGCTGTAAGTGCAGTGCCGGTGCTACAGGACATGGTGTGTGGGTGCCGACCTAAGAGGAAGGTCGTGTGAGGGCATGACTCTTTGGTTGACCCGGGCGGACACGTGACCGGTTAAGATGACAGGGGGGCCCCCAAGAGGGGGCTAGGGGATGATTGGGACCCAGGTCCTTCCCGATGGTTTTAGAAGGGGGACGTGGCCAAGGGTGGAGCCAGCCACGCCGCAGAGAATATAAGCCGAGTCCCGAGAGGATGTTCATCCCGGGAACGAAACCCTTCATCTATGATCTCTCTCCTAAGAGTTTTCCAGCACGTGGACCCGGACAGATACTGTTGGTCCCGGGTCCGTAGTATCATACTCTTTGGTTCTTTCGGTAAAGTCAAATTTTGATAAATAAATAACTTTTTCATGACGTTTCGATCGCAACACAAGCGGTCGTCATCAGGCGGAAAAAATAATCCAACAGTGGAACTGCTGAACCAGGAAGAAACACATCGAGAGAGCTGTTACAACAAGAGGTTATATATATGGCGAAGGGCAAGCAGGCGGGGTCTGAGCTTGAAAGGAATTCCATCCCCGCACGCAAGCACGTCAGTTGTGTTCATGGGGGAGATTAGGGAGAGAGATTAGCATGAAATGAGCTTCCGTCGCCGCATAAGTATATCGCCCTCGCATATGCACACAACAGCAGTGTTAATGTGAGATTAGCACTATGTTGATGGGAGAGATTAGGCAGAGATTAGGGAGATTAGCAAATTAATGTCATGTCTATGTGTAACACAAGCTGCGGTACTGCCAACTGCTTTGTAAGAGGCAAGCGCATCCACGCAAGAGAACTACCGCAACGGTGGTCGAGCTAGTGAGACACACAGCCCATCACACAACCAGAACCATCGATACATCAAAGCTAAGGGAGCAGAGGTGGCCATGTTAGTGAGACCCCAGCCTGTTGATGCAGAGGCACCTAACAGGGCAATGCAACTCAGAGAGTCAGAGATAACAGCCAAACGGCATAGAAGAATGGAAGCACCACAGCAAGTTACGACTTTGCTTGGTAAATAACGTCCTTCCAATGATTGCTCAGCTTATACCCATCTTCTCGGTTAAAATTGTCTCTGTGTATATATATCTGGATGGCTTCATGGACAAATCTTTGATGGTAGCCCGAAGGTTTGCAGAGTACCTTGGTCTCGGAAAAAAACAATATCGTGCGAGCCCACTGCATTATAACAATGATCAGCCATGGCAGAGGTATTGGTTCTGCAATGTTTCAAATCTACATTGTGTTCGCGAACACGGTCTGAGACATATCGTTTCGTTTCCCCAATGTAACTGCTGCCACAGACACAACTTAGTTTGTAGACACCAAGGTATTGCATGTCAGGAATGACATCCTTCACAGATGGGATCAAATCAGGGATTTTGTGTACTGGATCAGTGGTCGGAGCTGGCCCATCGAGTGGTAGCTGCGGCCGCGGGTTCATCTGCTGTGCTTGGGTTTATTGAGGGTGTGGAAATTAGAATGCTAGTCGACACAGGTGCGTCGGCAACTATCATCTCGGAGTTGATTTACAATATTTTGTCCCCCAAGTGCCAGGTTATAAACCCTGTTGATGCACCATGTTTCGTCTCTAAAGGCGAATCATTGGGTATTATTGGTCAAATAATGGCCGAGGTGCGCATCGCTGACGTTAAATTGTCAGGGCACATTCTTATCTCCACGTCCCTGGCTGTTCTATGTTTACTTGGAACCGATTTCTTGGGCAGGATGCCTTTGAAAATCCACATTGACCATGGCTGTCTGGAACTGCCATCCGGCCATCGTATGGCATTTTTGCCTTACCCCCACACGATTGTGTATGGCCAACGCCACAGTGCAAGCGCTCACGCGCTGAACAGTGATAATCTCTCCCGGCGTGCAGATATTAGTTCCCCTCCGCTTGAGGAAGC